ATTGGAGCACTCACAGGCCAGTGGTTCCCAGTTGTCGGTTTTTATACTACATTTTAAAATACTTGCCTTGAACCTCTTTTGTTGTCCACCAGCATTACGCTTTCCATTTTTAAGTTTGGAATAGAGTAGTTGCTTTGGAAGACGATAATCAGGCATCCGAACAACATGACCAGTCCAATGAAGCTGATGTTGAAGAATCATTGCTCTGACACTGTGATCATTGCTTCTTCCATTAGTTCGCTTGCCTTCCCAAGTGACGTGAAATTTTTGGAGACACCGTTGATGGAGTCTTTTGAGGAGTTGGAGATGCTGTTTATAAGTGGTCCATGTTTCACAAGCATACAGTAAGTTGGTAGTACAATAGCTTTGTGAACAAGCATTTTTGTTTCCCTGCTAACGCCCCAGTCCTCAAACACACTGCGCTTCAATTGGGAGAAAGCTGCATTCACAGAGTTTATGCGATGCTGGATTTTGGCATCAGTGTCGGCCCTTGTGGAAAGATAACTTCCCAGGTAGGACAAGTGATCGACCCTTTCCAACGTTACATAGGCTTTCCATAGCATAGCAATGGTAGGCCCTGGTGCCTTCCAGTAACTGCAGCATCCAATCTCCTGAACCGACACTCACATCAAGGCTGATCCAACTCACAACTCTTCTGTGGAATGCCCAGCTTTTCTACAGTGGATCATGCCCAAAGCTCTCACCAGAAGCATGAAATAAATAAGGGACAGTGCGCTTCATGCTGGCATGCCTGAATTCTTGTTCTCTGTAGAACCTTGTGGACTGTGCCATAGGAGTCAATTGATTTCAAAATCTGCAGGGTGTATGGCTTTTGTGACTGATGGAAGAAAACAGGTGCAACACTTATGCTAACACGACTGCCTACTGACTCTTTTAAAAATAATAATGATTGAATGTTCTCTTAACAGGCTCTCCAGTTCATGTAGGTAGGAGATCGTATTGTTGCAAACAGGACAATAGCATTCAGAGAAAGCCATTGATTAATTGTAGGTAGAACACTGGACTAAAGCTTGAAGGTCATGCTGTGTTTATGTTGCTGAAGCAAACAACAACAGAGTGTGCATAATGCATTTAACTTAATTAATTGTTTCCCTCCTCTGCAGTACTGCAGCATTTCTTTGTGTTTCAAAATAAAAGAAGAGAGCAATTTAATTTTAAAATGTAAACAGCTTTGGCCTTTGAAAATGTAGTTGATGTTAATAGGCACAAATCTATAGCGGTACTTCTCGTATTCTGTTATTCCTAATCCTAAACAAGCTCTGCTTCTCTGCTGCTGTATAGCTTGTTTGTCAACCTCTTTTCTAAGCATCTTTCCAATGTGAATGGATCACCACCACAATCCAAGGAAAGGGATTAACATACACAAACAGCATTGTATATAACTTTCTTAATGATGAGCGATATCCGAGTTAGGATGCAGTTCATCTGCATCATGTTGTTTTGAATGGGATGTACATTCTAGTGTGAAGTCTAAATTATGTCCCCTTCCATCCCCCCTCCCAAAGCTAGTGTCCATACCTTGCTTTACAAGTGTCTTGTGGCTTACATTTCTTCAAAGCTGAGCACATTTTATATTGCAGGGTGGGATTTTAAAAGATAAATGTGTATTACTATCAGTGATTTCATTACCTAGGGGTATGTTATTTGATTTTATTCTATATGTTAATGTATTATATTCTTTTTCTTCCCTCCCCTTTTTAAAACTTCACTGGAGGCCTCCATAATAAGAATTTCTCAAGAACACATATTTTTCCATTGCTTCGGCAAAATGAACCACATTTTAATTGTATTTGTACATACTTGGCTATCTATTCCGTTTTTTTAAGGACAGTGCAAATGATGACTGCAACTGTGATATCACTTGCAAAATTAAAATGCCAAGTGATTTCAAATAGACAAAAGGTGCCACCACAAATCTAAGTAGAACATTGCTAGATCAGGCCAAAAACTCATCTAGTGCAGCATTCTGTTCTCATAACAGCCAATCAGATGCCCAAGGAAAGAAGGATCTGAGTGCAGGAGCACTCGCCACCACTTGTGATTCTCAGCAATGGGATTTAGAGCCATAATCCCTCTGACAGGGGAGGCAGAACATAGCCACTATGGCTAGGAACCACTGATATTATTCTCCATACCAATTTTCCTGTAACGTATCATTGGGTTTTGTAATTGCCTTCAGCATCCTGCATCACATTCCATAGCAAGTGTTCCCCAGGGGAAGTGTTACAGGATTTAGTTTTCATTAGAAGAGAATACACTGGAGATTTATGGTGTCTTCATAACATTTTGCTTATTTGTGAATATAAAAATACAGCCTATTGGAAGGAAGGAAAACCGCTGAACCTGCATCAGGTCTCCAAAGAGAGAGAAACTACACCCCAAGGATGCTACATTCAGCAACTCCAACTAAAACTTCTCAGTTCTCTTGCCTGTATCCAAATTCAAATGGGTAACTGCTTTTAGCTTTCTTCCTGTACTTTCACCAAGCTATGATGTGTGTAACACATCTTCCATCTCATGCCAATTTTTAGCACAGGGTGCAAAATGTTTAGATAAAAGATTCTCTCCACCTACTCAGTATTTATGCAGTAACAGAGAAGGGCCATCACAACACATAAATCATTCTTATGAAAGCAGGTGAAGTTACTCCATTGACCAACCAATTCCCTCAACAGAAATTTATTTTGCCCTCATGACATTTTCCAATAACAGTATTTCCCTTACTGATTTCTCCCATAAGCTCACCGTACATTCAAATATAGACACACATTTAGGCTACAGGTCTAAAAATGGTTTAGTATCATACAATAAAGACATTTACAGATTTCTACACTAGGGTCGACCAACTGGTACTGCAGAAGGCTGATTTATGGGAGGAAAATGTTCTTCTGAGACAGGAGGGGAAATAGAGCAGATTCCAGGCTCAACAGAAACCAGTATATTGCAAAGCAAAATAAAAAAAATGTTTCCACACAAAGAGATAGGTGTTAAATGTACTTCCAGCAACTTGAAAAAAATATAAGTGCTAAGCTAAACGCTAAGAATTTTCCTTTTCCAATAATTTTTATTAAATTTTCTACAATTTTAACAAATACTGCAACAAACGTTGCACAACCAAAAAACAAACCGAAACAAAAATAAAAATACAGTATAAAAAACAACAACAAATATACAACAAAAACAAACTTAATTATTTTAATGTCCAACCCTATAAACCTACTACTTGACTTCCTCTAGTCCCTCCCCTGAGTTTCCTTGTATCTGAATGTAACAGCTTTCCAATATCATTATTAATAACAATGTTTGTTATTTATTCACTTTTCTTAGTATTCTAAATCCCATTTATTTAAATAAATTCTAATTTAATCCTAGGCCTATTTGATACTTTCAAGTAATTTCTAATTTTTAATAGTACAATAATTATTCAAGTAGTCCTTAAATTTCCTCCAGTTTTCTTGGTATTCCTCTTCTTTCTGGTTGCGGATTCTTCCAGTAAGGTCAGCTAGCTCCATAAAGTCCATCATCTTCATCTGCCATTCTTCCACAGTTGGTAGTTCTTGCGTTTTCCACTTCTTGGCTAGTAAAATTCGAGCGGCAGTTGTGGCATACAAATATAATTTACCATCCTTCTTGGGCAATTCCAAACCCACATCACACTATCTGTTTTACAATGCAATCATTGGATCCCTGAAGGCATTAGTATAAGCATGAAACCATAATGTGGAGAGCTGCTGCAAAACAGCTGATTAAATGGGTATTGTAAACTAGGGATAGATTTACTCCCAGTTGACTCCTAACCCAAGCAGAAGCTGAGCACTGTCAGCAGATTTTATGAGAATCTCTTCTTTTTGCTGAAGAGCTGATCCAGCATTGCATTTAGGTAAAAGCATTAGCTGTTTTCTCAGAATCTGATCTGAAAACAGTAGCTGAGAGTGTACCACTGCACTCAAGGGCTGCAATACTTCCATGTATTTATTTGGCACATAGCATCAGAGAGGAAGTACTCCTAACTTCTACTTACAGCTTGGCACTGGTTAGGAGGAAGATTAAATTCTGCCTCCAATGAGTTGACTGTAAGCAAAGACAGCTGTGTGTTGTGCATTATAGTTCTTGCTGATTTGTGGATATCAAAGGCCATAAATACTTTACAGAAAGATCACATCTTCAGAAAAGCTAAGACTGTAGGTCTCCTAGATACTACTGTGATGCATAAGCCAAATCTGCTGTTTGGTGGATCATTGTCCACGAATCACCCAACCAAACCTTCTCCTGGCTACCTTAGCATCCTGTCTCTTATTACTCCCACTCCTGTTTCCCTCAGGATGAGCCCAGGCAAGAAACACAAGTTCACAGGGGTCTCTTCTCCAACATTTTAGAAAATTAAGTATCGCTCTTGTCTTGGAATCTCCAAGTAGCTGGGCAGATTCTCTCCCAACTACTCTTCTGCTCTTATGGTGTAATATTATAGTCTTTACTCAGGTATGCATAGATCTCTCATACCTGCAGACCACCCAGTCTTCCATAATCACCTACTTTTAAAAGAAGTAGTTTACCCCTATGGATGGAAGTCAAAAATTCCCTAGTTGCCGAAAATATGCTGTCCATGGTGCTGAAATTTTGATCCACCGAGATAACCTTCAAGGTGTGAATAGAGATACTGAACTCATGATATAGTATACTGTTGTTTTAGAGATGCTTCCAGTAAACTTTCATCAACAATATTTTAACTTCTTTAAGTTGTCAGTATTTTTAAAAATTAATTAATCTCTGCAGCCCAAAGTTTATATCCAAGAGCTTTAAAAAGAGACATGTAACTAGGAGTGGTTATTTGCAGAATGTCCAGGCTGTAAAGGATGCTTCTAACTTATGCACTGCAATGTTCTGAGAATATTTCTAGAACATTTTCGCTATGGTGAAGTGGAAAAGTTTGCACTCTTTTTTTGTTTTTTTAAAGTCAAGATCCACAATAATGCACTCACCATTTGACAAGCGGCAAAAATTCTCAGTCACATGGTTACTTCTCCCAATGGTTCCTCTGGTACACTTCTGATACTTTCTCAGACAACTGATCTTGAATTTGCAAATGTTTTATGCTTTAAAAACCCTTTAGAAAGAAAGAAATGAAAAGGAAAAAAAGGAGACAACATTTAATACCATCAGTAGCACCATGGGGGTTGGGGTTGGGAGGGGGGACTTGATTAGTGCTGATTGTATTTCTGTTCATGGTGTCAACGTGTGTTCTAATACCAAGTGTTTTTAAGAAGGTTAAGGAAAATTATCACAATAATGTAAAACTGTATAAAGCATAAAGCTACTGCAGTGGATATGAGTGAGACAAATGTTGATAACTCAAACTGGAAAATATTGGCCTTTGGACCACGTTATTGGTGGACTGTATCCTGCAACGACTGCTTGTGTTGCAACCACTATTTTATTTCAAAGGACCTGAAAGGGGAGAGTGGTCAGTGGGTGGCATCTAAAATTTATGCTCTTTTCCAAAGTGTAGTCTTTTATTTCTATGTCTCTTCCATAATTTCTATCATATATTTTCCTCTGTAAGATTTCTTGAAAAGATAAGTCATTCTCTTGGTAGAAAACTGTAGCGAGGGTCTGTGGAAGAGAACATTCTTTGCATGAAGAAGATTCCAGTTTTAATAGTCAGAATCTCCAGGCAGGACTAGGAAGCCACAGCTGTTTGTGCATTGCTGAGCAGGAAGAAGGGCCACTTCCAATGCTCAGACCTTGTACATATCCAGTAAGAACCCCAAAATCTCTGGAATAAATACAAGACAACCCATTCAGGTTTCTCTTACAATCTATTTCCTGACAATGGGTTGTTAGAGATTTAGTTTTTCCTGCCTTTTGATTTTTATCAGGGAAGATTATCTCATGCTACACTTTTGTTTAGCTTTCCACACATGGTAACTTGGAGCCAGAGACAGAGCATCATAGTGTTCAATTAAGCAAAGGGAGACTGCTCTGCTTTTAAACATTTGTGGGGAAAGACGTTGGGATTTCAAGTTCTAAACTGAATTAATGAGGATAGAAAACAAGCCCTAATTAACTGCAGCAGTAGCAGACAACACAAAAACTATTGGTGATTTCAGCCATTAGTCCAATGCATTGGAATAATTTTGCCCATATATTAAATCTAGCCAAATTTTGTATTGGAAATCTGTGGATGTGCAAAATTCAGAATTTGATATTTAAATTAAAACACCATCTTTTTCTACTCCCTTCCGACTGTGGTTGGTCCCAGGCTTTTCCTGGCCTTATAGTCACTTACCATTCCATTAGCAGACTTTGACCTTCAACACACAGGCACCTCTATCACATGCTTTCTGTACACAGGGGAGTTACTTGGAATATATGTAGTGGTGGATAGGTACTGTGTCCTGCCTCCCACTCATGGGCTCTACTATTTACATAGCATTGAGGTACTTACAGCACAACTTGTGTAGACCACTAAACATGCATTTGTATAACAAAGCACATAATAGAACAACAAATTATCTCCCTTGCATCGGGGAAAGAAGTTATACTCTGAGATCAAACAAGTAACTTTCTATGGATGCTCCTCTTATGCCTAGCTATTTTTAATGGTTTCATTATTATGCATTTGTTAGAAGCAACTGCTGAAGTCAATAACATATACACTACATATACTTTATCAGTGAAAGAAAATTGAACACATGCTCAGAAGCCCAACTATTTATCTTTAGAAGCCATTGTTCAACTAATAAGAAGCAACAATGTACAGTTCAGTCTTCAGCCTTGTATGTAGATATAAGCAAAATTAGCCCTGTGACTTCAGATAGATTAATCTGGACTAAATCTAAGGCCACCAGTTTAAAAATGATTTATTATCGAAATTGTTTTTCAAGCATGAATGAGCACCATTCTCCTCAAAATCTGATTTTTGAGAAAGGCATTAAGGGGCTAAAAGCATTCGGAAGCACCTATGGTGTGCTTTTTTGGCAACATAGCACATTCCCTGCCTACACTGATATTGTAGGAGCCCTGTTAGTCATCCAGTGTGCGTAGTTTATTGGCGTACTGCCCTTGCTGTATTCTTTGCTAAGGAAGACAATCATTTGTTTTATTTTTACTTTTCCTTTACGTAGAAGTCAGACAGCATTCTTTTCATCATCTGTCATTACAGAGGTGGCTGTCATAAGGCAATCCAAACAACATGGCAGCCGGGATGTTAAAAAGGAAAGGCCCAATTCAGGAATATGAGTAATCAGCCTCTATACTGTGCAGGCCTTACTAAAACCTTGTTTCACAACTTACAAAATTCTCATATAAAAGTTACTTCTGTAAGGAATTACACAAATCCTGTGTGAAGATTATGTGTGATATTAGTTTATATACCTGACATCGCTTACACAGGATCAACATCATGTTACAATATATATGTGGGATTTCCCCTGAACCGACAAATAGAAACCTGTAGTAAACCTCTTAGATTTCCTGCTAAATCACACAAGATCAAAGCTGACCTTCCTGTTACATATTTGGAGAACAGTTTCATGCTCCTTTTCTATGCAAATGGCAGATACTATAAACTTACCAAGCATTCAGTCACTCTATGTACTACAATTCCAGGATTTTTCCAGCTGAATCATCAGTTACTACCACCTTCTCCTAAAGCATGAAAGAAAGAAAAAGTGTGCTCTTCATGGAGTATGAATGAGAAATGCATTTGGGGAGTTATACGATCTTATACGATCCCTGCATCGAAACCTAACTCCAAGGGCCGGCCTAAAGCAATGCTTTGTGGTCTGTTTAAAGACACCCTAGGGTTTGAAGTCAAACAGTTAGAAAAAATTCTCTTCATTTGCACAAGCTCTACTTTTAACTTCCAAAAATGATATTTTGCTGCTTATAAATGTCAATATCCCTCCTTGCTCCATCAAGTAATATCTCTGTTGAGAATTGGTCACAACTAAACTTTTACATTGAAAGTTTGATTGATAGATACCCAAACATCATTAATGATAGCCGGCAATTTAATGCTAGGGTGAGTATTAAATTGGAATACCACCAATGGTGTCGCACATTCAATGAAAATAGGAAGACTCTCTAGAGACAAGGTTATAAACAGGGAAGGTATATGCTTGCTTGAGCTGTGTAATAATTTTAACTTACAAATTGTGAATGGTTCAATAGATGGTGATAGAAACAGGGAATTTACATACCCCCACCACACCAGGGTGTAGTGTCATCAACTATATGCTGGTCCTTTGTAACATTGTAAATCTGATAGTGAACTTTAGAATTGGGACGCGCACTGAAAACAATCACCAACCATTGCTGATGTCTATAAATTTAAGCTTTGATTTAGAAATAACTAATCGTAACAACACAATTTTTTGTCAACATGAGCAAATGGCCCAACTAAAATCGTCCCAGGAAATGATTCTAGCAGTGGGGCAAAAACTTAGTTGCTTTTAGGAACCCGGGGTCAGGGATCCCTTTACCTTTACTCTTTAATCTAAAGAACATCAATTCTTGTACTGACATTCTGGAAGTATATAGCAAAATCTTCAAAATGTTTGAAGAGCTTAACACTCCACCAAAAGTCAGGGTACTTAAAAACAGAACTAGTCCCTGGTTTGACGATGAATGTCTTCAACTTAAAAAATAATTTAAAAAATTGTGCCAAATTTCCAAAGATAACCGTACCAAACTAGAACCTTCCTACTTTGATGAAAAAAGAAAATATCACCTAGTTCTGGCCAAAAAGAAACAAAAAGATGCCACCCAAAAATGGTCCCAACTGACTCAATTCAAAACAAAAATAACAAAGTGTTTTGGTTGAGAGTATATGGAGGTCTGAAAGCTGGCCACCAACCAGCTGTCCCATCAACTGCAGTATTTCATTTCCATATTTAATTATCTACATAGTAAATTGAATGGAAAGGAGTCCAACAATAACAAACTAGATAAACTAAAGGAGTGGCCAAGGGTGAAAGAGGAGGAAATTAGAGATATAATTATTAGTTGCAAACTGGGAGAGTTGTTTATAAATGGATGTTTTATGATGGTCTATATTTTTAATATCTAATAAGGGCTTGACTAAGTAAGCAAGTAAGTGTTAAAATTGAACCTCACATTTAGCTGAATCAAAATGCTTCTGTACAGTAATGGGCTGGGTGGGGTGGGTATAGAGACAACAGAAGGGACAAAAATGAAAAGAGATGGCCCATTTGCAAAATTGCTGGTGCACTTCTAGAACAATGAATGAGAAGTCTGTTCCCCACAGATCTCTTAATTAATCACATAATATATGCAATCAATATTTTTATGTCTGAGTCAATATTTCCACCATGAACTTCTAATTATGCTTTGGTCAAACAATTAGGTTTCCTGAAAACTGTTCTGCAGCGTACAGGGACTTGGTTCTGAAGACAGAAGCAACAATCTAAAGAAGGCACATCTTACTTGCCCAGGGATCAACATAGCACACTTCAGAGACTTGTCCCTCACTTTTGCTGCAGTGGCTCCCCTGGCACGGCTGCAAACCATTGCCTAAAACACATGGCCACTCCAACTATACAAAACTATCCACTTCAAATATGCTGCTCCATGAAAAATAGGGCAAGGCATGCTTTTATGTATCCTTTACAGAAAGATCAAATATTTCCGAAGTCCACGTGTGACTGAATAAATGAGGAAACCAGTTGCACTTTTGAAATATCTTGTACATGTAAGGACTTCAGAGTAAGTTTCACACTAGAGGGTGTTTACTACATATGGACAAAGAAAAGCCATTTTATACATCAGAGCAACTCTACCAGGAATCCTTTCTCCACACTTCTTAACAAAAGAGGCAACAATTTTGCGGGGTAGGGGAACCTTTCACAGAAATGAAGGTGGGTAGATAGTGCCAATTGCATTTAAGAATCCAGTATCATGAAGTGAGAACTGTTAAGACTTTATTTCAAGAAACAATCTTAAGCAGAGATATTTATTACTATGTGCTCTGATTCATCCTAGGAGTCACACACGTGCATAATCTGCATGAATAATAAAACTTATCTACAGAATTAAACCCAATAATGTAGCTACCCTCAAATCATATAAGTGTTGATTTTATCC